TGTGTAAACAATGCGAAAGTTTAAAATTAACCATCGTGGATTAATCTAACTATAGTCTTGTAACAATAGCTTCGTTTGGACGTAATTAACTTAGTTCCTAAGAGATGCAGCGGTTAGGTATCATATATTCAGCAGTTAAACCCCGCCCGTTCAAACTAGGGAGCCTTAAAAGGCGCCGAGCGAGAAACTAATTTTGCCCTCATTTTAAGCAGCACGGGGTTATGTAATTTGTTACAATTAAACATGAGTTTGTGGGATATCTTGTGTATACTGTTTTGATGATAAATAGTTCTTATACTATATTTAAATAAAGATAAGGGATTAAAATAGAATTTGTGATCAAATTTTACTATAGAAAGTGAAATGGAAAGAAAAATATACCAATAGCGAAAAGAAATATAAAAATCTTATTTTTCAAATTTGTCTTAATTTTTCAACGACGTCTATATACCAGTAAAACGGGAAATTTTATGAACTTTTTACTAGAAGGAGACTTTGTACAAAAGTCGTTTGCTTGGGTACCTCTGTCCCATTCGTGTTTCGACCGTGAAGCAGTTGTGTTTACATGGCTGTATTTCGGTTTGAAGGGTGGAATATGGCGTGAATTTGCTGGGTACAGAGGAATAACACCCGAGTCGTCAAAAATGGCAAGGCATGGGGGGTATCATGGGCGAAACAGTATAGGTACTCTGTTATGTCCATGGTACTGCTCATGTCTATAGGCGACGATTACCACTTTCCATCAGGTGGGCCGTCAGCTTGTTTGCCATTCTAATTTGTATAAAAAAAAACTTACTATTTTTGCCATTTCTGACAATTGATTCGTTTCGATCTTCGTTCGTCGATCATTCGACATGTTGTCTTTTCCTTTTTTATCTTGTTAAAATATTCCGATGGAGTCATCGGGAATGGGAATGTCTTATTCAGGGTGCATACGGCGTTTTATGTCACAGCGTCTCGCCCCTCGCCAAGCTCACACCGATTCGAGTCTACACGGACTATGCGAGATTTTTTCTTTTTTTTCCGATGAATGAAAATGGAATGGTAACCCCGCTTGCGCTAACGAGATACGCTGGCGGAGCACCAGAGAAGGGTGCTCGATGAGAATGAAAACAGGCCAGTTAGTTCATCATGATGAATTCATCAGGAATTAACCATGATAGTTTCCAGGGGAACCGCGGGCGGTCGACCTGGTTGGGTATATTGTTAGCAATGGGATTTTAGTCTCCATTACTAACAATCCCTTTCCCCCCGGACTATGCGAGTTGTAGCCCGCAGTGTGAGACGAGACGCTGTAACGTAAAGTTCTGTGTACAATTTAAAACACTTCAGGATATAGCCAACACAATTGTCACAAACAATAACATAGTAATTTCATAATGTACATATTATAAAAATCCGTTCAGAATGAATGAAGACATGTTATGCATACACAGAATAAAAAAACTATAAGAAAATATTATTTTTCGTACGATCGATAGAATTTCTTTTTATATTAATCCATTTTATTTTATCACCATTGAATTCGTTTATTAATTCTTATGTTTTTTTTAATAATGTTGTAATATTTAATATTCCCATCATTTTCTTATTTTGAAATGAACTATTAAAATAATAAATTTATTAAAACATGAACTAAACATTTTTTTCTTGTTTAGTGAAGTGTCACACACATCCGTCTTCTAGTTTTCATGCTAGAATATTCTGTGTACAGTAACCCGACTAAAAATATTTAGGGCCACAATTCAAATATTTTTTTTTAAACTAGAAATCCGACCCTTTTAGAAAATTTATACATATAATAAAAAAAAGTTTCACTAAATTCACCTGATCGGTTGTTTTATAGCATTTTATATGTGATTCTTTAGCTCGATATATATATATATATAATTTATAAACTGATTGAAATAAACAAACACTAAATGTGTGTTAGTGAAAACCGCATTAAAATCGGTTAAGAGGTTTCTGAGATCAGCATGTACAAACACATACAGGAAAGAGACATAAATACTAAAAATTATTATTTTGGGTTCTATTGCGCTCATAAAGTCCCCCTATAACAGATTTTCTTATATATCTTCCATGTACAGACAGCGACCAGTTACGATTTTATTATATATATATCGATTTCTAAAGCAGTTACATATCTAGAAGCGACTACTCTTTCATATGTCTGAAATGACAAACAAATATAAGATAGAATGTGAATACAATTTCCACAAATCCTTTGGAATTAATTTACGCGCTCATATCTTCTGATCCCTTATATAAATCATAGCGTGACACCTTATCCATCATATTCCATCAGGTAGCTTCCTGTCAGAGAAAATCCTTGCGAGCTCGCTCCGAGGTTGTTTAATAAAAGGTCTTTCACGTTATGGCTGCTGTTTATTATTACACTATTACGTACACTGTGGTAATACTAGCTGGCCGGGGGTAAAGGGATTGTTAGCAATGGAGTTTGACAGCCCCATTGCTAGCAATATACTTTATTAGGTCGACGTCCACGTGGTTCCCCCTGGAAACCATCGTGAACAATTCTTGTTGAATTCGTCACGATGGGCGAACTGCCTGCTTCATCCTCACCTATCATCTCTCACTGGTGCCCCGTCGGTGTATACCGATAGCGCGGGCGGGGTTATCATTCCATTATTATCCATTAAAAAAGTCAATCATCTGATAATTCATGTGATACCACCTTTGTATACAACGAGGGGGCCCTAAAAACTCTTGATATTACACAGTTGAAGTCGGTTTAAAAACTAAACTATTGAATCGATTTCGATAAAATCTCCATAGGACAAATCTGTAAGTATACCCTTTCAGATAAAAAGAAAACTAAAAATCGGTTTACAACTGACGGATTGATGAAGTGACAAATATAAAAAAAAATACAACTAAATTGAGAACCTACTTTTTTGAAGTCGGTTAAAAAGATATTACATAACACTGGTCCGTGTTCCTTTCACAATATAATATTAATAATTAAATTTGATGCGACGACAGCGTTGACAGCACTCGGCCGCGGCTATCGTGTTTCACAAACGATAGAAGTGGTAATAGATTCGTTTAATTATTTAGCTATTTAAAGGGTCACTCCCTAAGACGAGGTAGAAATAAATCAAAGTATTGATTTTATATGAGATAACGAGGAGCTGTGAGAGCTGTCCATGATCCCCGGCTTAGAAGCGGTACCGAACCCTTAAGTCTTAGGAGAGATTTTGCCTCACTCTGCGTGTTCTACCGCTTATACAACGGATTGTGCTCAGAGAAATTGTTCAATATGATACCCACGGTCACTTTCTTCCATCGCACAGCTCGCCATCGACAGGGAGTTCATCCTCATATCCTACAGCCTAAATGGTCGCGTACAACGCCTTTTTAGAAATGTTTCCTAACACGAACACTCAGTTTATGGAATGAGCTCCCTGCCGAGGTTTTCCCAAGAGACTACAGCATGGGGTTCTTCAAAAGGGGGGTAAAGAAATTTCTTCAGTGTTGGCAACGCGCGCGTAATACCCCTAGTATTGCAGACGTACATAGGCTACAGTAACCACTTACCATCAGGTGGGCCGTATGCTTGTTTGTCACCTCAGTGGTATAAAAAGAGACAAATTTCAATAAGTGTAATCATCTTCCTACCCTTATCCCAATTATTATTTGGGGTCGGCGTAATATGGTTTTTATCCGTATTATGTACAAAAAGATTTGGCTTATAGTTTTACGACCGGCCGCCTGGGAATGCATTTGTTAGTGGTTTCTGCCACCTACGGTATGGATGAATGGATTGAGGAGGAATAAGGGACTAATGTGGAAAAGAAAAGGGGGGACACTGCAGCGGCTCGGGAGGCCGGGGTCGCATACCCGTATGCTCTTATTTTAGAATCGGACAGATTTCTAGAGAAGAACACTCATGACGCTTATAAATTTTAGTAAATATAATGACTGAGGTAAAATATGTCGGTACTCCTTTATGCTTCCTGGATTACTTATGATATGACAAAAAAAAAACAAGTATTAAAAAACTTTCGAAGAATATAGTAATGTTGTTTGTTATATATATATATATATATATATATATTCCTCGCGGTATTTTTTTATACTACGAAGGTAGCAAACAAGCATACAGCCCGACTAGTAATACTTGGTTACTGTAGCCTATGGACGCCTGCAACACTAGGGGTGTCACGTGCGCGTTACCTACCTTATTTTATACATCTGTTACTTATAATTAATTCCAAACTTTTCCGTCATTGACGCGTATTTTAAATACCCAACCGGGATTTAACGCGACGCAAATAACAATACACCAGTGCAAGAACACCAGTGTCTAATTAACAAAAATGTTGTTGGACCATCTAATAGAAAGTGATAACCATAACTATACCAAACTTATAGACATAAGTAGCACCATGGATACTACTGTATACATAGTAATCGTTGAATAGCCAGTTGTCCTGCGTTGCCTCTCTTGAAAACTAAGGTAATATGCCTTCGAATCTTATAACTACACTGCTATTTCACTTTAAAACAAAACACGCTCATGTAAGTACAGCTGCTTCAGGGCAGAAACACAAGTGGGACAGAGGCATAGTTCACAAATTTTATACAAATTCTCTCTCTGGTATTGGTTTACGTAATATTTGGTATTTAGTTATATGAAGTATGTTCAATGCTTAATATTTACTGCGAAAACTTATTTCGGATACTACTGAAATACTCTTATCTATCTTCTACAATAAAAATAATAATGATCATCATCATCATTATCATCATAACAGCCGTTAACTGTCCACTGCTGGACATAAGCCTCCCCTAGGGGATTTGCCAGTAATTGCTATCGCAGTTACTTTTTGGAGATGTTTTAGTAGCGACGCTGCTGGCCATCCCTCGCTCTCCCTTAGTCGCCTCTTACGACACTCACGGGAGAGGTAGGAGGGACCTATTCTATGGCAAGACCACGCAGCCTAATAAAAATAATATTAATGCTATGCAAATACCTGCAACAAGTTGCCGCGCACGTATGCGTGGCCAGCGCCTAACGACCGCACTCCACTTCGCGGTCAGCACAGACTCGTTGCGGAGCACCAGCATCCACGAGCGTACTGCACAACGCGCCAAACATAATCATTATCCTCCAATTTAAATTGTCACATTCTAATCCTTATTAATATTGTAAATATGAACATGAGTATGTTTGTTTATTGTTAACTCTTGGCATCTTAACCACATGATAAATAACCAATTGATAAACACATACACAGCATCACGTCGTCGCAAAATACATTATCATGCCTATGGGTCTCCTGTTGAATGCTGTTTACAATACCTAGATAGACAATTGTTTCTTATATTTATCTCTTACTATATCCACTTCCATAACTCACACATGTACACCCGTTATGGTGGCCTTTAATTTCGCCCTCAATCAGTATATAACTTATACGAACGTATATATTTTACCTTTCAACTAAATATAAATAAATTCTATATATTAATTGAAATAATTTATAAAAGAACTGGTCACGATTCAGAAACGAAATTAATCAGTTTTTCTGCTTTCATACGCCTTATAATACTTTGGACGGAGACGTAAATATAATATCTATTTTTATATTAACAAGTTATGAAAACGTTATTTGGTAATATAATAATACAAAATCGACATCAGTTCCAAGAAGTTTCATAATTACATCATCACAGTAAGACTCCTGCTACGTACGAGTATCAACTATACATACAAGGTCTTTAACAAACTCTGTAATAGTCGATTCCAATCTTATTATTTGCATAGCTCTAATATAATCTCCTTAAACCGTCCATCACTAGCAAAACTTCTCAGATAATATTGATCTACATCTTCTAATATCCGCTGTAACAAATATTATGTCGCCCGGGTCCTGATCGGCCGTAACTAAATAAGTGTCAACGGAAATTAAATACATACAGTATTTACAGCTCTATATACGTCCGCTTTCTACACGCATAATATTGGGGGAAAACATACAATGGCAATAAATACGACTCTCGCATATAAAGTACTTTATACTGGTCGGTATTAGTAAACAAGGGCTTGCAACGTTCAACGTTTTAATCAATCGTAAAAGTTCCACGAGGGGAGACTCTGTAGAACTCGAAAGGACACATTATGTTTCCATCTCCAAGCAGTCATGCTTGTTGTTTCAATTTGAAGCGTGGGAATATTGTAATGAAATTACTGGGTATTACTTTAGTCCCTAGAAATGGCCACGCATTAAGATTACATTGCGTTCCAATGCATTATAGAATCTTCAATATGCGGTTCTCACTTATAGACAACCGCAACTGTTTTCTATCAGGAAAATAGTCAGATTCTTTCACATTCAAATTGTACAAAAAGATCCTAACTCAACATTATTGGAAAAAAGGGTTTGTTATTCATGGGGTCTAACAGCCCCATTGCTAGTAATATACCCTATCAAGTCGATCTCCTTAGTAATTACTGCGTTTAATTCTTGTTGAATTGGTCGCAATAAACCGACTGACCTGCTTTCATTCTCACTGTGAACAATGAGGGGTCATTGGTGACCCCATTACATTTTTGCCCATTAAAAAACCAACATTACTTTTCTCTTTTTTCATAAAAATCAATAAAATAAGGGGAGAGTTCGTTGAAAATAGGATACATTGAAACAACATTTGGACCAGTTTACTGACTCTGAGTTTGAGACTCACTGTCTCAACTAAAAGACTTTATCTCAATGTTTTTAGATCTTGGATTTAAGGCAAAGATAATCCTTACTGTCCTCACCAATTATATAAACGTGAGAGTTTGTTTGTTTCTTTGTTTGTTTGTTACGTCTTGGCGTCTTAAAAGTTCAACTAATTATCAGAAAACTTGGTCTGGTCAGTCAACATATTTATTTTTAGCCCCCAAAATACAGGTCTGACCGATGACTGAGATAGGTCCGGGGTTTGGGGACCAATGATGATGCAGCTTTTTCATAACTAGGTATAAGCTCTGGTATAAGTAATATTTCTGTTCTTTTCTGTTCCGGGTCTTTTTTGGTAATAAACGTATTGTTTATCTTGGCCACGCGGACGATGTTACAGGCAAAAACTAATGTAAAATAATACCTGTATTAAGAGGTACATTTGTGAATTGCAGGCAATATGGCTCATCGTGCTCGGGCAGTGATGGCTTCGGGCGCCCTGAACACAAACACACGTGTGTCAGTGATGGCGGCTTGCACACTGTATAATAACAGAAGACATATTTTTTTTTATAACATACGGAAACAAACGAGTATACTGCTCACTTGATGCTAATTACCATTACCCATGCGCATCCGAAATATCAGAGGAATTGCAGACATGTTATCGGCCTTTTAGGAAGGAATATGCTATTTTCTTGAATATTTTAATGTCGTAATAGTTTGGAAACACTGCTTCTGGGACTTGGTGTTATCTATATTATATCCTTCTTCTAAAAGGTTCTTAAATAAATAATTAAACGTAAAAGGACCTTAAATAAATAATTATTTGGGCATCATATATGAGCCAACCCTCGAGCCCTTTCACTACTGGGTCTCCTTGTTTCACATAAAGAAATTACCAGAATCATTAATTTCAATTTTCGTTTACGTCCATTGCAGCAAATCAAGGCGAAGGGTAATAAAATTTATTAGTACAGCTATATTGGGAGCTATGCGTACCATCAATAAAGATATACACGTGGATTTTATTTATACATTCACAGAACACTTTACAAATAAAATTAATGCTAATTATACAGAGTGGAATCTAAACCATTGGCATCCCTTAAAGTGTGTAGTCTGTTAATGTGTATGAACGTTTTCAAAGAAACATGAGCCTAAAAACGATGTTAATTTTTACTAATTGAACAGTTGGATTTGCCTTGTCAGTGTGGGAGGCTCTATGGAGTTTTTTAAATCAGCTGTTTTTATTTTATGTTTGCTACCCCATGACTCCGTCACTTGTAAATCGATTTAGAAAATTCTTTTTAATCTGAGAGATTCTATTTTTTTTTATTACTTTTGCCACTATTGGTCTATTTTTTTTATATCAGGTTCAAGCAAATGGTTTCGGAGATTAGCGTGATCGAACACGTGATGCGATTTTAAGAATATTTATACATTAAACTACATTACAAACAGAAATATTTTTTTTGCAGGTTTGCTAGATTTGTGCTAGCATTTTACTTAAACCAACTGAGCAAATTGTCACGAAAATAATACAGTATGTTAAGTTAAACATAAATAAAAAAAAGAAAAGAAAAGCTTACTAAAATTATTAAATTGTTATTTTAGATATTAGAATACTGTTCCAGCCCCTTACTACAAAATGTAGCACTTGCAATGAACAAACCGCATCAATGTTGCAACTTAGACCGAGTTGAGGCCAACTCGAACATTTCGCTTGTTGGAAACTTGAGAAGCTCGTATGTATATAATAGGATAAGTTGCTTCGGGCAGACAAAAGGTGAATTTGGCATACACAGCGGGTGAAGTTTAACTACAAATATATTGAGAATTATGACATATGACAAGAAGAAGTTTCGGGCTCGATAGGGTTTAAAACCGAGCCCGAAACAAGTCGAACAATCCCGAAGTTATATATTATGTAAAACCGACATAATATATAACATATTAAGGTATATAGGATACGTCTGAAGAAGTAATAATACAAGCCAAGTGCGAATCGGGCTCGCGCACCGAGGATTCGGTATAAATTATATAAACTACAAGTTTACCGGTGTTACCTGGTTAACTGAATTCACAGAAAAAAGACAAACAAAGTCTCAATATTAAGCTCAAAAGTTTTTAATGAGTTGGAACTCTGTTCAATAAATTTAATCTATTTATATCGATCGGCATGTATTTGAGCAACAAACATTTAAATGAAAGGGATGAAACAAAGAAATACTTTTTCAACAAAACTTAGTACAAAGGCGCCCTTTAGCCTTTGAACAATAAGAATAAAAGTAAATAAACTGAATTTTTAGCAGGAAATGGCTCTGTTTGTTGCAAAATATATACACCAAGTAAAAATACAATCCTGAAACTATTTTTTATACTTTTAGACATACATACATGCATATCTGTCACGCCATTCTCCCATTAGAGTAGATAGAAACAATGGAATACCGAATCCTTCTATTCAAACTGACCTCTTTCGCTTTTTTTACATTCATCAATCTATTCATACACGCTCGCAGGTTACGAGTACTTTTAATTTAGCCCTTCTTCAACACGTCGCCTATTTATTTGGTCGACATATGTCCGTCTAGAGCGGTCCTATATACATAAGTTACAAGTGCAAAAAATATATAAATAACACCAGTAGCAATACCTGTATGTTTGATACAATATTAATAAATACTCCGGTTTCTCGGTATTTTCGAATTATCGAATACTTTTTCAATATGTTTTTCAATTCTACCAGACATTAATTCTAAAGCCGAACTGAGTGCTTTCGTGCGAATTTATGTAAAAATAAAAAATAGGCGGTACTTTTGGCAGTTTTTAAACGGTTTTATTTTTTCGTACTCAAAATTAGAAAGACACCTTCCCGTTGTCAGATTGATCTGAAATTTGTACACACATTTAATTTAGATGACAATACAATATAATAAAATCAATAACATTATATAAGATGGCCGCCGATACAAAATGGCGGATTACATATTTTTCCTTAACCCCCGCAATATGGGTATCAAATGTCTAGTAAAACACGATGATTATGTATTTATTCAAGATTTATTTTATATCAACCAAATATGGGTATCAAATAATAGGACTACACTGAGACACCCAGTCACTAGACACTCGGACACTAGACACTCAGACGCTAGACCCTCAGACACTAGACACTCAGACACTCAGACCCTAGACACACAGACACTAGACACTCGGATACAAGACACTCAGACACTAGACACTCGGACACTAGACACTCAGACACTAGACACTCGACACTCGACACTCGACACTCGACACTCGACACTCGACACTCAGACACTAAACACCAGACACAAGACACTCAGACATTGTTCGACATCGACAATGACACTCAGACACTA